ATATATACACACACACACACACACACACACACACACACACACACACTCTTTAAGAACCTAGTATTGTAAGATTGTACCAAGCAGAATTTGACTGGAAGTTATGTGTTATATTGAATGTTATAATTGTAAAGGCATAAATTGAAGTTTAAATGGACAAAAATTAAAAGATACAAAGGTGTTATACTCCAATCAGTAACTACAGGGGAAAATACTGCTTAATGAGAAAATATGAAATTGAAACAGGACAGACAAAAGTATAAATATAATGATTAGAAAGATATTGAAACTTACAAAAAGATATATATATATAATTGAATTTAGAAAGGAATTAGATAATTAAAAGCAAGGTTGAGAAAACTAAGGGAAGGGAAAATTATTGAGAAAATGTTAAAATAGTAACAAGATGGAATAGAACACAAAGATGAATATGAAATTGAGTTTGTGTCTGTATGGAGAAGTGATAGCCGGGACCATGCTATTCTCAAAAAAAAAAAAAATATTTTACTTGTATTATGTTTTGTGAAAACACAAATAAATTTTTTACAAAAAAAGAAGAAGAAGAATATCCATGCAATTTTCTTGGCAGCAATGACTTTCCAGCCTAGATTACAGCTTTGGGGTTCCCTAGTAGTTTCCCATCGAACCTTAGCCAGATGCTGCCAGGAAAAAGATTCCAAAAAATACTACTCCTGTTCCAGCCTTTTTCCTCATTACTGGAGAAAGTTAAAAGCAGTAAAGTGGAATATGGGGGCTAATTTGCAGATCATATTTTATAAGCCATCTGTAAAATTCCTGAAAGAAACAGGCAGTACTTCCAGACATTCATTTCAACTGACAAGTGGAATGCTTACATATTGTTTAAATCAGTGGCTCTTAAACTTGGTAAGTTTAAGTGTTGTAGCCTTCAACTCCCAGAATTCCCCAGCCAATACGTTTTCCCATCTCTTGCATCATGTATACAACCCCTCATCTATCATTTCTACTGACAGGTAAAATAAGTTTTCTTTGCAGTTCAACCATTTCATTTCTGATTTCTCTCAATTCTCCTCATATCCCCATTTATTAGCATACAGCCTTCCTGCCAGGGTTTATGAAGTATTGGAAAGCAGACTTGTTGCCATGATAACCATGCAGCTTTTAAATCCATTCATTTTTGTTGCAAAAATAAAAACATAGACATTTGCCCTAATGTGAATATCAGCATAGATCTGGGAAAGAAAAGGCTAAATCAGAAACTTTTTGATTAGATTTTAACCTAGATTATAAGGGTTTTGGAAATGGAAGGGCCAGCAGTCCGGAAGAGCCAATGACGGGGTGTCAAAATAATGGTGTCACGGTGGCATCACGTGACATATCGTGACTTCCCCCACCTTCGTTAAACTGGGGGTGGGCGTGGCCAGCACATGATGCATTCAGGCTACAGGCTGCAAGTTTGACATCCCTGGCCTATTACACTGTAAAAGTTTCACCTGGACAGGTTTTCAATTCTTATAAATTAACTATTAAACTATTTTAATCTTTCAATCATTAAATAATCAAGAAATGGACACCATTATTTATCTACATAAATCTTTTGGAAGTATACCAGCGGATATTGGTTGGCTTCACTTGTAAGCCACTATTTAAAAGATTCAGATACTCCACCTATTTTCAATAATCTGAAATGGGACAGAGAAACAGACAGGTGGTGGTGATGGGACTGGTAGAGTCAAGGTTAGTTTCACTTGTACAACCTAATACCACACACATGCAAATAGAGTTTTGTGCGCTATACCCTCCACTTGTATGGCCTTCATCTCAATAAGCCCAGGACTGGTACTGGTCTTTGGACCAGGGGTTGGCAGTGGTGGTATTCTACCAGTTCGGCCGGGTTCTGCCGAGCCAGTAGCAGCGATGAGCAGCGGAGACCAAACCAGTTCTCTCCACTGCTCTGCTGTTGGGCCCACCTGCCCACCCAGGCTCCCATACTCACCTTTATCCTCTGAATTCGAAGTACAGCTGCTTTGCATGGCACAGAATAGCGCCGCACGGCAGCTGCTGAAGCAACCGGGAGAGTGCAGGCCTGCAGGAGGTGAGTTAGAATGCCTCTGCGCCTGCGCAAAGTGTGCATTTGGTGCACCTGCGCACACAGTGTGTGCACGTGTGCGGTGCACCCACCAAGCCACACCCACCAAACTAGTGGTAAAAATATTTGAATCCTACCACTGGGGGTTGGGGACACCTGTTGTAGACAACACATTTTTTTAAAATACACACCAGAGGAATAAGTATAGTAGCAAATCTGGATATTAATTTTAACATTGTACTATGGGCAGAAAAATACACAAAGCATAACAGATATTTTGTTAACACAAAATAAATTTTAAACAGGAGCTCATAATGCATCTACTATAACTTTATAGTTATTATCTGGAATAGGAACAGGACCTGTCTTAAGTATTCCAGACCAGATGGAAAACCAGATGGAGGCTGGGTTTGTTTCCAGATTACGGTTGTTTCTGAAGGCTTTGCTTGCTCGGGGATGTGCAGAGAACCTGGAAGAAGATCTTGCATGGTTTTATTAACTGGGCCTAGAGCATTTGCATGAAACAGAATATTTATGTTAGGAATGAGAATGGATTGCCATTCTAGCAATTATATATACCATTAAATGTAAAACCACATAGTCTTATCATATATAGTTGTTGTTGTATGAAGGTCTGGAACCAAGAAACTAAGAGTTGGACCCACAAAAAGTATGCAGAAAAATAGGAATATTCAACATTTGTTTCCTCGGAGTTCATCCACATGATGTTGATAGAAATATTAGTTATAATTGAGATAAACCTACATACAAATATATGTTCCAAGAAATATAATTCCTGTACTGTTCTGAGAGGTTTATTTATTCATTAATATTTCATATTTCTTTACCACACATCTCCTTCATGGCCTTATAATGGATAGCATGAACATATTTTATATAAATTCTTGGTAAGATTAGTAAATAGGACTGTCTAGGCTCCATCAAGTAACATAATGAATTAACAAATTTTTATTTTTCCCCCAGCACTTTCCCATTAGCCCGCCTTTTCCTAGTTGTAGGAGCAAAAGAAGGCAATATAAGATATCCTGAAGTTAAAGTTCTTATCAGGATGCACATTCCCTCTTACACTTCAAAGCAATTCATATATGTTGTTTTTCATTCTCACTATATTTCAATGACTTGTTTACAGAACATATCATAGCCAAGAAGTCAATCAGTTATCAACTATTTATATCACTGTCATCATACCATGATAATTACTGGCTCTCATCTTTACATCAGCATGATCAAAAATGAAATATGATGGGAGCTGTGGCCCACTCTCTAAAGCACCACATATGGAGCAAGGCAGGCATATGGAAATTTATCACCATATACTAATCAGCATCCTACATACTCATTAAAAGTATCTAAAGTAACAAAGTCTCCAACTTTTTGTTTCTTCCTATTGATCTCTTATCTACATCATTATACACAGAGGACTCATATTTTACCAGATTTTTCTAGTTCATATTCTGGTTACCATTCAAACTTTTCCTGAATTAAAAATAAAAAGAGACAAGGTAGCTCATCTGAAGAGACCCTGCATGATGATCTTTTTCATTCTGGACTGAAAAGTTAAATCCACTTTTCTTGCAGTTATAGACTAAGATGAATGTACAATCCTTTATTTGAATGCGTGCATTGGTCCTTCATCCTGTAATTGTATTGAGAACTTAATTATTATTGCAACCACAGCTTTCCTTCAAGGCTTAAGACCATAGGAAGGAAAAAGAATCCCTTTGAATTTCTCTTTCTCTTTAAATATGCATAACTGGATTGTAAATATTTCATTGGTTTTCCTGCATTATGTTACCTCACTGGGTTGTGCTGTTGTCAAAACCTGTGTTACATGAACTACTGTGAGGCTTTATTAGTTAAAAGTTCAACCAAAGTGGAGTCTTTCCTCTCAGACTTAAATTAACTCCAGAAAATCAAGAATCAGATGCATTGGAAATATTAGTGGAAAAATGAGGACATTTTGAATCATGATTTGCATTGTTTTCTTAATTTGCAGATCTTATTTCTCTTTCTTTCTAGTCACTTAAAATACACTAAACTGAAAATACAGTAATTTAACCAATTTTTTTTAAAAAATGATATACAATTCATATTCCTTTGGTGTGGAATAGCTTCTTGGAGCATGATAATTTTGCTAACACAGTTGAAATATTACATAGATAAATTTCTGTTTTAGCACATAAATTAAAATATTCATTTTGCAGGATGTTTTTATAATAGCTACTTGATTTTTTTTTTTTGTCCAGGATGTTGACCATTTTCTTTCCATTTCATAGTCCTTTCTGAGAGAACTAGAAAGTGCCAAGATGAAAGTATTTTGATTTTATGGAGCAAGCAGCAAAAATAATGCAGGCTTGAAGACTGCATTAATGAAGCATTTCATCTATGATTGTTCCATGATGGGAAGAGAGTGGGGTGAACCTGTTAGTACTTCTAGAGATTTCATCTACCAAATTTTCACACATGCTATTTAAAGAGACTAGCTGCAAGGTTTAAGAGAGAAATTTGACTTCATTTTTAAATGTAACACTCTTTTTTTAAAAAAAAGAAGAAGAAAAAGAAAGAAGATGAAGGGGGAGGGGGGATATTTGAAAGGCTTTTGAGCCAAGCTGTAATTTTCACCTTTAATGAGAAGTTAGCTGTTTCAGACTAAAGAGAAGACATGGCATGAACTACCCTTCAGTTTGATTGCACTCAATTGTCCTTCAGAAGCTTGTTAGCAGGAATTTTCTCAAGCATGTTTCAGAATGATCAGGAGTTGCTGACATGAGATTTCTCAGGTGAAGTGTGCTTGAAGGATGCAAACCTTTTTAATGGAAGCCTGACATTTCTGAGTTTTCCTCTTGTTGAATAAATAGCACCAATACATACCTGCAGACTAGAGCAGGCAGTGAAGTATAATCAATAAAATATCTATGAAGACATATGCAGATTTAAATTTATATATTATACTTAACATTCCATTCTATTCTATCTCAATTCAGAGCAGAAATTAAAAGGGACTTTCACCTTCCCATCTAATCATATTACTGATTGCTATATGAATAGTATTTCTTTTTATACTTTATATATCAGCACTTACCTTGAGAAGCCATGAAGCTGCCTGGATCGCTTCTTCAAAGTAAGCAGGGTTAAATAAATAAAGAAATAATGTGTTACCTGGTTACAACACAGCAGAAGGGGGATAGAAAAAGCACAACATGCAGAAAGTTCAGAAAATGTCTGTCTACTTCAAGTCAGGTTGCAAAAGAATAGCATGAAAACACCTTTTTTATATTACTGATTCCTGCATTTTGCTGGTATGAGCAACAGGGGGAGATAATGCCTGGAACTGAGATAAAGAATTCTGCATCTGTGTGAATAATGAAAAGACAATGCATAAACAATCATATTCAACAAGCTAGCTGATGTATTAATGGCTGTGAGATTAAATCTCACTTGCATATCGTATGCAGTATTTTGTTTTTACATTATCCGCTATCTATGGCAACATTAAGATGTATGAATTAAAGAAAGGTGATGTCACAATGTTTTCTATGGCAAAAAAAAAGAAAGAAAATGTGCATGTATGATGGAGGTTTTATCCTCCTGACAGTCAGCTTTTATCAAGGGAGAGTGTTCCTTGGCAGAAGAAGCTCCTACTCAGTAAACTGCTTGTTTGTTTTGCAATGGAAATAGAATTCAGATATGGAGATATTTCTTCACAATATAAAGACTAAATTATAAAACTAATGGTCATCCTAAAAATAACCTTGAGATGCCAGTTTATATTTCTAACTCATAATCAAGTTGTCATGGTGATTGTGTCCAAGTCTGACTCACACAGCCATGATTCACAACTATTAAGTGACCACAAAAAGGGCAATAGAAGAAAAAGCTGTCATACAAATTTCAGCAGGTTGAAAGTCATTGTCACCTGACACTGATAGTTATTTATACATGCTCAAGCTCATTTTATGATGTCTTTTTAGTTCTTGCTCAGGATAATTACATCTAAATTGTATTTTCATATGGCTGATGGCAGAACTACAATTTTAGCCTTTCTCCCCAATTATTCAGAGAAATAGCCTGTGACTTGACATTCATCGTTTCATATACTAATACACTAATTATAACATACACTAATTTTAATGTATAGAACTTGTTGGTACAAGATTCCACTCAAGATTTATGGATCCTTTAGTTATGCCACATATTAGTATATGAAGGCAGTTCAAAACATTTCTGTGGAACATAAGATGTGTTGACTACACATTTTAATGATTAATGACAAATTAGACATTTTTAAGGAAAACTAATATATTAGTAGGCCTCATTAAAAGAAAGCATGAAGCCCTGATCAATATTTAAACTTTTATAATTATATTTCTAACCCAAAGAATATCATCTGGAACAATCTGAGCTATGCATTAAAGGCTGTTACAGTTTCTGGTCTTGCATATAGAAATAGGAAAGGAGATAACAAGGCTTTAACATAGCATGTTGAAACAAATAAAAAAATCCTGCTTTTTTAACATATTTATCAGTTTATTCTTTGTAGAAATGTCTAGTAGATTTCCCCCCTTTGAAAATCTGCTTCCTATCCCCTCTTCTTTTTATCTGGACTTCCCCTAACACACCTTGAAAATCCCAACCTTTAATCTGAGACTCCAGGTAATGACATTAGTCCTTTCTTTTCTTAGCTTTGCTCCAACAATTTGGACAGATTTTAAAAGGAGAAGCAACATTTTTATCTCCAAATGAAAGGAAGGCATTAGACACTCTCCGTGTAAGTGACAGACAGCCTCTGTCCTTTCTGAAGAGGTGGACTCTACATCTGCCTTATCTGACAGGCTAACTGGCTGTTTGTCATTTTGCTTTATTTCTTCCTCTCTCCTTTTATTGTTCCTCTTCTTCCTTCCTTCTTTGGTTAATAATAAAAGAATTCTGAAGATGAATCCCAATGAAGACCAAGTACTACAGACAAAAACAAGAAAGGTCTCACCATCACGTGCATCAGCTGCCAAGAACTAGAATTATGTTCCAGATCAGACTGTTTTTGACATCAGGATATCTGAAACCCCAGAAGGGCTGGAGTAGCGCATCTGAAACCTCCATCTAATTTTCTACTGTGAGGCATAAGTTTAAAAGAGTTTGACAGATGGTTTAAATTTCTTCCTGCATTAAATGCTTTGGAAAAGGAAACTAAATTTAATAATAAATAAAAACACAGAATAGAACAAAGGAAGACGAACAGCTCCTCATTTCGGAAAACTCAAGGGTCTATTAAAGTTGGAATGCTCCAACCTAACATTAGATTCATCTTTCCTGAGAAAAGATGTTTGGTAAGGGAATTAAAGACAAAAGAAAGATAAGGATAAGAGTTAGTATAAGATTTTGTCTGAGAAGCTAAAGCGTGTACAAGAGGAAAAGAGACAAGTTCAATACCATTTTTATTTCAAAAGAGATGTCTTTTAAAAAACAAAGCCAGACTAAAAAGACATG